CTCGACAGCATAGAAGCAGATTAGAGAGCACCTCATCCTATAGAAGTCGTCGTCGAACCCATAAATGTTGCTTACCTGAAAAGGAAGTGCCCCCTCTCCATCGTACGGCTCTCTACTTGTGGCAGAATCGCCCGAAATAGCACACTTACGGAGGCGCTCATCTTCCACCAGACACTAAGCACCCCAAAAGCAAGCTACGACGGGTGGTATCCATCGGGCACACCCCAAGGGAGAACCCGAAAGATCCACATTTTTCCCAAGGATCCAATAATGAGAACGAGTTACAATACTTGTCCATTTCATACATCAGAATTTCTTAAAAAGTACATTATTACAATACCAAATATCAGAGTGCGGAATGATAAACATCAGAATTTAAAAATAAACACCTAGCGATAGGGACGAGGATCCGTCTGAGCCCACTAGAATAATCCTCCACACAAGGTACTTCTTATGCATCACCTGCAACAGGGATAAATAAACCCTGAGTACACAATGTACTCGCAAGACTTAACCGACTAGTGGGAATAATCTCCCGACTCTAAGGAACATGATAGGCTTTAGGGTTTGCTGGTTTCTTTTGGCAGAAAGCAATACTAATAGTGAGTCCTCAGTTATGTATTATGATTATCAGCCGTATTAAGTTATCATCTAGCCAGTCTATATAAGCACATGTTCTACTTTCAAGCAAGAGTTGAGCAATCAGTTCCATTTCTTCTCCTTTCACTTTCAGTTCTTACTACGGTGCTAAACACGAGACAAGCCGTACCAGATCGCCCGGCGATTCGCGAATCAATGTGCCCAGCTGGGTGCCCCGAAAACACACGTCTCGCTTGTACCCCAGGCACAAGCAGGACTAACCCATCACTCTCCTATCCCGGGTGTTCAGGTCCCCGTCCAAACTTGGACTCCAAGCCCCCACTCCTAAGTCCCGGACTCAGTGTGGTGCAAGGACCTCCACCACCTCCTCTTCCCATCAGTCGGTCCAGAAAGAGCTGGATCCACGACAAGAGAGCAACAAGTCTTCCCTGCGCCCATACCCAAGTATGCGCTCAGGATAATAAATCTATGACTTGCCCACGATGCCTTATGCAACGACCGGTCCTTAATCGACATGGACAGGGAAAAAGTGTAACCGAGCTATGCCCTGTTGTCTGCAGGACACAACCCTTTACACCCACCAAAACCCAACCATATCCCTGCCCGGTCACCATTTTCCTTTCCACCATTTTATCATGAGTGATCATATTTATCACCTATTTGCGAGTAACGGTAGGTTACTCACGCTACCGATATCCTGAGCATAGCAGCTACTCGACCTGTACTAGTAGGACTCATAGGTAGATATATTTATGCATGTAGTTTCCATAAAATGCCTGTAACGTAAATACACATCATAGATATATATTCAGTTATTATTCAAAATAAGGGTTATGCACCAGGGCTTGCCTTCAGCGGGCACGGTGTCAGCAAAGTCAGTGACGGGCGGCTCCGGAACATCCTCCTGCATGAGGATCTCCTCCTCGTACTCTTCGATGACTTCGTTGTACTCCTACTCGCCGAAGGTCACGATCTCCAGTGGCTCGTTCTCTATATGCATGCAGCGATGATGATGCAATAATTAATATTTAGGCAACCGTAACTCTTAAAAATAAGAACACACTCATCATGCTAACAAGCTAGCTCTACTGATCTCATACCAACTAATTACACTAACAGATAGATCATGAATTTAGGAATCTAACAAAATTTATTTCATAATAAATTCAAATGAGCTCTAGAGATGAAGAAATGATATTATTGGAGGAGGCTAATCATGCTATTGGACTTGTTGACTTGCACATGGCTGTGGATATAGAAATAATGGATGAGACCGTAGGTCAAGAAAATAATAGAGAGGGATGATGAAGGAATTCTTGTAGGCTAGCTACCTCAGAATTGAACAAAGTGCCGCCTACGGTGATCGATGTGCGGGGGCAATGCAAGAGAAGAGACACCGGAGAGCTTAGTAATTGCTTGCCCTGCGCAGAGCGAGCAGAGCCATATATAGCATTGGTCGGGTGGTTACGACGAGCTAGGCAAGCTGGAAGCATGGAAGGAGTCGGCAGGGTTGCCCTCAGGCTCCGTGCCGTGTGCGGTGGTGTGGTCTCCAGCTGCTGCTGGCCGGAGCATGCTGCTCGGGGCGTCTATCGATCTCGTATGAACAGTGTTTTCTACGGAGCTACATTATTTTCTACGACGCTACAGTGTTCCTTATGGTGCTGCAGCTCTGCTCACATGACGTGCTGGACGGGTGGTGGACTAGACTTTCCATGATTATGAGAGGGAAAGGTGCTGGTGCCTTCATGCAGGTCAAGAGATTACTGGAGGAGAAGACCACAGGTCAAAAATAGTTGCTTGTGCACTACGTGCTGTTCGGATGAATCCACACAAGATAGTCCTAGATGGGTGGAGTATCACTTATAAGGAATTTCAGCCTTGGAAGGGTAAGCATGCTAAGAAGCAAACAAGTGAAATAAGTGAAGTGAAGATGAACTCTCAGAATCAGCAAGCCAGCGACAGTCTTCTTCCTCATGGTACATCATTAAAAGGTGCTCAATCTCACCAAGGTAGGGCCCCAGTCAATGCTTGTTTCCATTGTCAAGAAAAAGGACATTTCGTGGCTCATTGCCCAAAGAAGGACCGAGCCAGCGACGGTCTTGTACCTCATGGTACAGCATTAAAAGGGTTTCTACAGTGAACAATATTTTCCACGTGAACAGTGTTCATGCGCTGCTATAGTGTTGCGTGTGGAAAAAGGTGTCTAACCTTTGTTTGCAAAGCAACCAAGCAACGAACAAGCGGAGTGCGTAGCGGGCAGAGCTTGTGATTGAGATTAATGCGTAGCGTGTGCGATACTGTTGCTACGATCGGTCATCATTGTGCGCGTGCTGCGTGGGCTAAGCAGAGCATGGGCCTTGTGCGTGCTATGGGGATTATGAAGAAGATGAATAATGAGAGATGGAGTTGGATCAGGATAACAATAGTGAGTTGAGCTATGCTGGAGAGTATTTGGACAATGAATAAATTAGAGCTCAATTTGAGAATTAGTGCACTAAAATTTAATTTCTCATTTACCACATGCAAATAATACATAAACATGATGCTCATGACATGGTTTAGTGTTTTGATTAAGGCGTAACACTGAAGATGTTACACCACTCCACCTGCAATATGTCCAAACAAGATGTTAGATGGTATATTAATCCATTTCAAACCAGTATGAAAAATAAAATTTACTTACACTAGACGACGTGAGCGTGTCTAGCTCATTCGTAAACTCAATGTACGCCCGCTCTAACCTCGCGTACAGAACCCTGACCTGGTCCCAAAGGTACGCCCACATCGGCTGCCGACTTGGAGGTCTTTGGAACCGCTCACCTTGAACCAACTCCGGACGGCCAAGCGGAAGAGTCCACATCCACAATTTGGAGCGATTACACGCATCCACCAAGTGACGTTGTGGACGAAGTCCGACGACACCCCTCGCGCAGCTGTCGGTATAAAAAACCCAAGACTGCAGAGCCCTAGCTGTAGTGACCCGTCTGGTCCCAATCAGTGAGGCAGTGGACCCACATCCAGGATGCAGTGTCACCCGTGGCGTCGGGGAAGAGAACGCATGCAAACAGGTGTAGGATCCACGCCCTGCAGTAGTACCCAACTGTCTCCTCTGCCTCCTCGGGACACTGTGCGAACTCTTATCGGAGCCAGAAGATGAGAACTCCAGAAGTGCGAGCCCCTTGCTCGCCAAGCTCACGCCCAAGGAAGGCCTCCACTCGTGCTCTTCAGCCTTCTGACCTGCACTACCCGGTGACTGGGTTGTCGTGAATCCTCAGGCCTAGCATCTTTTGACAGTCCTGGAGCGTGACTGTCATGTCCCCGAAAGATAGGTGGAAGCTGTGAGTCTCCGGCCACCACCTATATTTTAGACAAAGCAAGATTACATGTCAAAAAGGCAAGCGTATGAACAAATGGATATGAATGAAGGCAATGATTGAATATAATACCTGTCAACCAACGCAATTATGGCCGCTGAGTTGAACTTGGGCAACCCACGACGAACCTAAAAAGAGATGACATCTAGGCCAGCTCTTTGCAGGAAAGGAGTGTACCTGTCGTCGTACCGATGTCCAAGAACCCATTATGGGTTCTAGACGAAGGAGTGGAAGGTCCTACATGAAATAAAATATAGTCTCCTGTTACTTCATAAACACATGTACGCTCATCAAAATTTGAACAAAACGTATATATTATTATCTTCCCCTGCGCTATGAGATGTCCTCGGTGGATCGCCTCGTACGTCGGGTCGAGCAGGTGGAATTGCACCATCCTACAAAAAAGTCAATGAATTAAAAATTCAATATACAATGAAACATGAACTTAAATACATAATTAAATAAATAAATACGACAAATATGAAATAATAAAAATCGCAAGAGTGAGGTGCGGGAGAGGGAGCAGGCGGTGGCGGCGGTGCGCTGCTCGGGCGAGAGAGGTGCGAGAGAGAGAGAGAGAGAAAGAGAGAAAGGATTGAGGCCCATACGTAAGACAGGCTCGCTCGACGCCAAGATCTACGGCGCCGAGCTCGGCGCCAGAGTGACTGGCGCCGAACTTCCTGTCATGTCACCGCCACGTTTGTTTCAAGCCTAAGAGCTGCCGAGACGTGTAAACTCGGCGCCAGCAACGATGACGCCGAGCTAAAGGTCCAGATTTTAAAATCTTTCCTCCATAAACATATTTGTGAAAAATTTTCAAAAAAATCTAAAAAATAAAAAATTCGGTCACGAAGCGTCCTGAGGCGCCCTCCAGAACGCCCCCACCTGTCCGCTGCTGGTGGGCCCGCACACCTTCTCGCGCGCGGGCGCGGCTGGTAGTTCGAGTTCCCTCCAAAGCATCCTTCGTTTCGGCAGGTGCAGGGGCAGCTCCCTTTATCACTTGCCGGTCACCGCAGCGCAGCGACGATGTACAGAGCGGCCGCCTCGCCGCTCCGCCACAGCCTATGCCGCCTCTCCTCCTCCCGCTCCGCGGCTACCCCGCTCGCTGGGGCCGCCCGCTTCCTCGCGCCCTTCGACTCCGAGCGTCGGCTCACCTCGTCTCGCCTCTTCGGGTCGGCGGCGGCCGGGCCGTGCCGGTGCTGCTCAGGCGCCGTGATCACCGAGCGGCCTGCGTCTGCGTGGCGCGGACTCGCCACCATGGGTAATGCTCCTCAGTACCCTCTTTTCTCGCAACTAAAAAAAGGTGCTGTTCAACGGTAAAAATAAAAGGTAAAGAAAGCACTAGTACCATTTTTTTCGAATTGAGAGGTGCACGGTGTTGTTCATCATGCGCAGCGTTCACTGTTTTCTTTCTTTATATATATATATATGAGAAGAAGAAGAGTTGTCATACGGTCTGGTTTGTATTTTGGGTAGCTCGGAGATTTGAAGTTGTATTAGGTGACCCATCAAGTAGTTCCAAGCAGCCAAACGTCGTTGATCATGTCACCCTTTAAGAGCCTGTTTGAAAAATTTTCCTATTTCTGTGTTTTTCTTGTGGAATTGAATTGATTCCTGTGAAGTCCCTGTGTTCCAAACAGTCCATAATAAATTATAGATCTCTATGGTTTTGAATTCCTAATGGTTGTTGCTTGTGGTTTCAATGCCACTATTTAATATTTGATCTCCGTCTGTGTCCTTACTGCAGCTGATGGTAATAGCCGCTTTGGGCATGTCCTGATAAGCCTCCCAAAGCCCGGTGGTGGAGAGTACGGGAAGTACTACAGCTTACCAGCCCTGAATGATCCTAGGATAGGTAAGCCCTTCTTAGCCAAGAAATGCTGCGGTGTTTATACACAATAATATGAAGATCCCCAAGGAGATGTCATACCAAGCCTTACAATCTGTAATTCATTTATGCATTCCATTTTCAGAAAGATTGCCATACTCTATCCGGTATCTACTGGAGTCAGCCATCCGCAACTGTGACGGTAAAAATATCATTGACTGGGAGAATACCGCTCCCAAGCTAGTGGAGATACCATTCAAGCCCGCCCGTGTGCTTCTGCAGGTGTGGAAGTGACCTGACTTCATCCTTCGCTTCATGTGGTGTAAAATAACTACTCATTTTCCTCTCTTTGAAGGATTTTACCGGTGTCCCAGCTATTGTAGATCTTGCAAGCATGCGCGATGCTATGGCCCGACTGGGTGATTATCCTGGCAAGATTGATCCCATGGTAGGCAGCACTCAGTACACTAAGACACATTAGAATCATCATCATCATGCAAGAATGGTCACGTGACTGACCATCTTCTAATCTTTCTCAACTTCTCACCTTTTTGCTATTCGCTTGCAGATTCCAGTGGATCTAGTCATTGATCATTCGGTACAAGCTGATGTGGTAAAATCAGAGAATGCCCTCCAAGCTAATATGCAACGCGAATTCGACAGGAACAAGGAGCGCTTTGCCTTCCTTCGGTGGGGCTCTATGGCATTCAATAATATGCTTATTGTTCCACCAGGTTCAGGAATTGTTCACCAGGTGCAGTTTGTTTTTTTCTAGGCCGAACAGTTCCAGTCCCAAATTGTTGTGCACCTTAATTTTCATTATGCTTCTTGAGTTCCATTTGATGCTTTTTTAACTCTATTTTTTCAGGTGAATCTTGAATATCTTGGACGAGTTGTTTTCAATACCGATGGCATTTTATATCTTGACAGCGTGCTGGGAACGGATTCTCACACTACCATGATTGATGGAATGGGGGTTGCCGGCTGGGGCGTTGGGGGAATTGAAGCAGAAGCAACAATGCTTGGTCAGGTAATAAAACAGAATGTTCATTCTTTGTACACATTAAGATACTCATATTTGCATATCGACCTTTATTTTGATTATGTCTGATGCGATATTTGTCTGAACGGACAGCCAATGAGCATGGTCTTGCCCAGTGTAGTTGGATTTAAACTGTCAGGGAAATTGCGTGATGGTGTTACTGCAACTGACCTAGTCCTGACAGTGATACATATTCTTAGGAAGCATGGTGTTGTTGGCAAATTTGTTGAGTTTTATGGTACAACTTCTGTCAATCTTTATACATCTTCAATTTTAATACTATCACTAATGGATGGGTTTTGCATGTAGGTGAGGGGATGAGTGAGTTAGCAGTTGCTAACAGGGCAACAATTGCTAACATGTCACCAGAATACGGTGCAACAATGGGCTTCTTCCCTGTTGATCATGTGACGCTTGGATACCTGAAGCTGACAGGGAGAAGTGATGAAAAGGTTTGCTTCCATTTTTTACCTTAAAGTTGCTTATTTGTTCTCAAAAAACATTTCGACAGATCCAGTCTATTGGACATTCCTTTTCGGTCCAATAGTTTTCTTATGTTTTGATGTCCTTACAAATAGGTTGAGATGGTGGAGGCATATCTTCGAGCTAACAACATGTTTGTTGATTACAACGAGGTTAGCATCATTGGTACTACTATCTCAGACATCAAAGGAAACATATGTCTAATACAGAACTGTTGTTTCAGACTCAAACAGAAAGAGTTTACTCGTCTTACCTAGAGTTAGATCTAGCAGATGTTGAACCATGTGTTTCAGGCCCGAAAAGGTAACTTTCTTTGCTACCTATGATTATCTTGATATTATCATGCTACACATAGTTTTTTTCTGAATATGATTGTACCTTATCATTGCTATGTATAATACAGACCTCATGACCGCATTGCTCTGAAAGATATGAAAGCAGACTGGTGTGCCTGTCTCGCTAATAAAATTGGTTTTAAGGTAAGAGTACTAAACTAACTTGAATGTTGCCAGCATCCATGATAGTTGCCTATCCTTTACACAATTTCTGTTGTGCCCACCAACAGAACAGTAATTTATTTGTTGTCTGCAATTTTTGTTTGGGTTACTACAGGGCTTTGGCATACCTAAAGAGCAGAAGGATAAATTAGTCAAGTTCACCTTTCATGGACAACCTGCAGAGGTTAGACACGGTAGCATTGTGATTGCTGCCATAACAAGTTGCACAAACACCTCAAATCCAAGCGTTATGCTTGGTGCTGGCCTTGTTGCAAAGAAGGCGTGTGAACTTGGCCTTGAGGTGAGTCTTCATTGCCAAAATTACTTCTCAGCACAGCATGCCTTTGGTAACTTTGGTCTATCGACAGGTTAATCCATGCATTAAAACTAGTCTTTCGCCAGGATCCGGGGCAGTGACCAAATATCTGCTGAAAAGGTAGTATTTCCGTCCCTCCCTAGTAGTTTTAAACCTGAAAATTTGTTTATCTTCAAATCCTGACTTATATGTCGCAAAATCAGTGGCTTGCAAAAGTATTTAGATCATCTAGGTTTCAACTTAATTGGATATGGTTGCACAACATGCATTGGTAACTCTGGGCAGCTTGATGAAGATGTTGCTAAGGCAGTTACTGACAACGGTAACTTCATACTTATTAACTAATCACATTAGCCTGATTTTTCTCATGCTCGATTGCACTTCAGAAAATGAAATCCCATATTCTTGGCATGCCTTTGTCAGATATCATTGCTGCTGCAGTACTCTCTGGTAACAGGAACTTTGAAGGGCGAATTCATGCATTGGTTCGGGCAATTATCTTGGCTCTCCTCCTCTTGTTGTGGCCTATGCCCTTGCTGGCACTGTAAGCAGTGGGTTTATCCCTCATTGATTCTTTTTTTCTGGTGTCGCCACTCGCCACCATGGATAAATTCTCGTATGTTGTCCCATCAATATGTATACATTTGCATCAGGTTGATATTGATTTTGAGACTGAACCAATTGGGAAAGGAAAAGATGGAAAAGATGTGTACTTCAAGGACATATGGCCATCAAATGAAGAAATTGCAGAGGTAAATTCAAGATTGCTGCATTCTTCTAAATTGCTCAGTATGCATTTATCATCATATATAGAATGCACTTATCACCAAGGTTTTTAATTTCGGTATCGCCAAAATTTCGGTCACCACCGAAATTACCGAATTTCGCGAAATTCGGCCGAAATTTCGCCGAAATTTTTTTAGAGATTAGCACATGAAGTATGTTTTTTTCTAAAAAAATTTGGATCTAAACAAATATTAGTATGATTTATGACTACATATCTATTAAATAGAAGAATATGCAATATAAACAATAGAAAAATATAAGATTAGAGTTATATAGCACATGTATTAGTGTATTAAAAAATTTCGGAGTTTTCTTTCGGCCACCGCCGAAATTACCGAATTTCGTGAAATTCGGCCGAAATTTCGCCGAAATTTTGAACCCTGCTTATCACACCTTAAGGTTGGATTATAACATTTACCAGGTTGAGCAATCAAGTGTGCTGCCTGACATGTTCAGGAGCACCTATGAAGCAATCACACAAGGCAACCCAATGTGGAACCAGCTGTCAGTTCCCAAGGCAAAGCGCTTCCCATGGGACCCCAGTTCCACCTACATTCATGATCCTCCATTCTTCAAGGATATTACACCGACTCCGCCAGGTCCACGCAGCATAGAGAATGCCTATTGCCTGCTGAAGTTTGGTGACAGCATCACGACTGACCACATCTCACCAGCTGGGAGCATCCCCAGGGACAGCCCTGCTGGCAAGTACCTGCTTGAGCGCGGTGTGCAGCCAAAGAATTTCAATTCTTATGGAAGCCGTCGGGGCAACGACGAAGTGATGGCACGAGGAACCTTTGCAAATATCAGGATTGTGAATAGGCTGTTAAATGGAGAAGTTGGACCGAAGACGATTCACGTCCCTACAAGTGAGAAGCTCTTTGTGTTTGATGCTGCAGTGGTCAGTTCTTCCCCAAGGTTGAGATATTTTTCAGCGTTACATTAGGAACAAATAGGCACTCGATTCGCCTTGTCGGCCAACTGAGCTTCATTGAATTAATTATGAAACATAGTGTCCTTTTACTTCATACTAACTAGACTTGTCATTTGAACAAATAACCTTAGATGGTAGCCAAAGGTGAGTACACCAAAGATAAGCTTGACCCTTTTTTGTAGCCAACCTGACTTCCAACCTGACTTTCAAAATGCATATGGACCATTATTCTTGTCGATGACTATTTCTCATGTACTCCTATTATAAGGCCATTACACTGGTTATGCTTATTTCAGAGATACAAAGCTGATGGGCATCACACCATAGTGTTGGCTGGAGAGGAATACGGCAGTGGAAGTTCTCGGGATTGGGCTGCCAAGGGACCAATGTTACTGGTATATGCAAATCATACAATTGCCATTTCTTTGCTGGCTACCGGAAACTAGGAACATTTCTTTGACAGAACTATGTTATCAGGGGGTCAAAGCAGTGATCGCCAAGAGTTTTGAGAGGATCCACCGCAGCAACCTCGTGGGAATGGGAGTGTTACCGCTGTGCTTCAAGCCTGGTGAGGATGTTGATTCTCTGGGGCTCACCGGTCATGAGCGCTACACGATAAGGCTCCCTACCAATGTGAGTGAGATACAGCCGGGCCAAGATGTCCAAGTGGTCACTGACACTGGAAAGTCATTCACCTGCAAGCTCCGGATTGATACCATGGTAAGTTCTCGGGTAAAAGGATGTGAAACTGGTAATTCCAGAAATGTTCACAGCACAGTGGTCAGTACAACTGAATACCGCGATAAAGTTGATGGGCATTACGGCCTTCCTTAAATTCAAGGGCTAAAGTTTAGGAGGTCATATTGGATGTCACGTGAAAGTGTTTGGATAGTAATAATAAAACAAATTATAGAAGTCCTCAGTACTCCGCGAGACGGATTTTAATCCATCATTAGCTCATGTTACTGTAGCACCGCATTGTCAAATCATGGACTAGTTAGTCTTAAAAAATTCATCTCGCAAATTAGTGTCTGCAATTAGTTATTTTTTAGTCTATATTTATTACTCTATGCATGTGTTCAAACATCCGATGGCATAGAGACTAAACTTTAGGGGACCAACTAAACAAGGCCTACATTTCATGATTGCAAGAACATACACATGATTGCAAGAACATACACATGATTGCATTTCTGTTCATCCTGTGAGATGAAACAGTGCCTTTTCAAATACTAACCTACAAGCTTAGCAATTAGCGCCAACCCAATTGTATTGATTTTAGAAAAAAAAACGTGTTTTGTAGGTGGAGCTGGCTTACTTTGATCATGGCGGGATCCTTCACTACGTTCTGAGGAACCTGGTGAAGCAGCAACAGCAGCAGTAACTCTAAAAATACATGAAAAATCTGTGAATATCTGCCTATCTGGTGCGTTTCGAAAAAGGCTATTGTGAGGAATAAAATTACTCCTGCAGTTTGTAAAGTCAAGCCGATGTAAATGTTCATGAACTGAGCTGTGCTGTTTTGTATACCGTTTTTTTATATTAGAATTTCTGTGCTAATAAATAAAGGTGTTATTGGTATGTTGGCATCTGTCACCTGAAGGCTGAAGTTTCTTTCTCCCATGAAGATGCGGCAGCAGCTGCCCTGCGACAGTTGTGAGTTGTGACACATCTACTGATTCGCGAAAAAAAAAACCATGAAGATGCGGCAGCAGCTGCTCTGCGACAGTTGTGACACATCTACTACATTGATTCAAAAAAAAAAAAAAAAAGTTTGGTACTCGGAATTTTATTGCTCTTTTGTTTATTGGAAACACCAAGAAAGTAGTAATTGCCATAAGCGAAGTGCTCGTAAGCCAAGACTGAAATTGAGAAGATAGGCGAAGTAATGGTACGCTTCAGTTTTTTTTAACACCATTTTATTCACCATCTGTTGTTTGGTGTTACAGTGTAGGTTCGCCGATGTACTGACCAAGATTTAAATCTCGGTGCACATATTTAAGATAATAAAATGGCTCTGGAGACTGGAGTAGAGAATAAGGGAAGAGGAAAAGACAAGAGTGACTAAATTTTATGGATCTTGTTAACCGGGGAGCCTGGCCTGTTTGGGTATAGTTTTCGGCTTCTGCTCCTGCTCTTACGCCAACTGCTCTAGGAGAGCAAAAGCAGTATGTGAGATTATTTGGTAAATTGGCTGCCTACTTATACATGGAAAATAGATTGTACCGGAATTACCAATGCCCTAAATACATTTTTTTTCATGTGATCCTATCATGAAAATAAAACAGAGATAATCAGATAAGAGATATCAACAAACTACTTTGCAAATGAATCTCTCTATACAACACTCAGGTTGGTTTGAGCTCTCCCAACATCTGATTTCCCCCTTATCTTCTTCTCCCTCGCGATGCCCGCTGCCTCCTTCTCCCCCCTCCCCACCCCCTGCAGTCATGGCCATGGGTGCCCTGCCCCAACCTGGTCCGGCCGCCTCCGCCGCCGCTGGATCCCTTACGCCGTCTCACCGTCTGGTCGGTCTGCCTCCCATGAGCCCCTTCTAAGACTACCGGATTTAGAGAAGAAGAGAGAAAGAGGCCAGATGAAGATGAGAAAATTCGAGCGTTGGATTGCTCTAAAACACTGTGTTGTTCTGTAGCTTTTCTAACAACACTGCGTGAGAAATCAGAAATCTGAACGAGACCATGTTACTTCCTTTGAGTTCTACCATAAGCCGCACGATCCCGATCCAACGGTATAACAGCTGTCTTGTAAAATTCGCTTATTCTCCTCTCCTCGGCTGTCCACGGGCACGGCAGAGCGCCCTCCGCCTTCTGCTACCCGCCCAGCGCCCATCTCCCACCCCCGCCCCCGCCGCCGCCAGCGCCAGGGCGGGCACCGGAACCACTCCCGGACCCGCCACGCCGCCGCCGCCGCCGCAGCACCGAAGCTCTCCACCTCTTTAACCTCTGAGCGAGCCCTCCGTCACGTGGGCGCCGCCGGCCGCGGCCACGGCCACGGCCACGGCCACGGCCACGCCACCACCTCGTCCTCGAACCCACGCCGCCGCGGCCACCGGCGCGCGCCGACGGCTGAGTCCGAGCCCCTCACGTCCACCGCCGCGCCCCGTCCGTTCCCGGACTACCACCCTCCCCGGCCTGACTCGCCGGACGACGACGCCCTCGCGCGCCGCCTCGCCGCCGCGGTGCTCGCCTCGCCTCATCCCACCTCTCTTCCTCCGCTCCCCTTCCTGCCCCTACTCCGGCCAATCCACCTCCTTCTCGGGCTCCCGCTCCTCGCCTCCCACCCGCACCTCGCCAGCCTCCTCCTCCTCCCTCTCCTCCTCCTCTTCCCCTCCCGCCCTCAGCAGCACCCGCACCCGCACCCGCACCCGCACCCGCACCTGCTCCGCTGCTTCGCCGTCGCTGCTCACCTCGCTGTAGTACGCGGCGCCGGCTCCGGCGCCGCGCGCGCCATCCTTGCGCGCGCAGTCCGCTTCCCCTCCCCTCATAGGCATTTCGTCGAGCACTACATCTCCACCTACAAGGCTTTCTCCTCGGACCCCGCCTCCTTCGACCTCCTCCTCTTGTGCCTCCCCTCCGCGCCCCTACTGCGCCGCCTCCGCCAGTACGGCATCTCCCCGTCCCCGGAGGCCTGCAACGCCGTGCTCTCCCGCCTCCCTCTTGATGAAGCCATCGAGTTGTTTCAAGAACTCCCGGACAAGAACGTTTGCTCCTACAATATACTACTCAAGGCGCTCTGTGGTGCTGGCCGCGTGAAGGATGCACGCCAGCTGTTCGATGAAATGGCTTCACCGCCCGATGTTGTCACGTATGGGATTCTTATCCATGGATACTGTGCTCTTGGTGAGCTGGAGAATGCGGTGAAGCTGTTGGGTGACATGGTGGCAAGAGGGGTGGAGCCAAATGCAACTGTGTATACTAGTGTTGTTGCATTATTGTGTGACAAAGGGTGGGTTTCAGATGCTTTGAGAGTTGTGGAGGATATGTTCCAGCATAAGGTGGTATTGGACGAGGCTGTGTATACGACTGTCTTGAGTGGTTTTTGTAATAAAGGGGATTTGGTATCTGCAAGAAGGTGGTTTGATGAGATGCAGAGAAAAGGTTTGGCAACTGATGGGGTGACATACACAACACTGATCAATGGGCTTTGCCGGGCTGGTGAAAGAAAGAGGCAGAGAAAGTGCTTCAGGAAATGTTGGCCAGGCGGTTGGATGTTGATGAAGTAACATACACTGTGCTTATTGATGGGTACTGCAAGAGAGGGAAGATGGCGGAGGCCTTTCAGGTGCATAATGCAATGGTTCAGAGAGGAGTGACTCCAAATGTAGTGACATATACAGCTTTGTCAGATGGACTATGCAAGCAAGGGGATGTCCAGGCCGCTAATGAGCTATTGCATGAGATGTCTAACAAGGGGCTTGAGTTTAATGCTTGCACATACAACTCCCTGATCAATGGCCTATGCAAGGCAGGCTATCTGGAGCAGGCCATGAGGACTATGGCAGACATGGATGCAGCGGATCTTAAACCGGATATTTACACCTATACAACTCTTATTGATGCACTCTGCAAGTCAGGGGAGCTTGACAGGGCTCACGACCTCTTGCAAGAGATGTTAGATAAAGGAATTAAGCCTACTATAGTGACTTACAATGTTTTGATGAATGGTTTTTGCATGTCAGGTAGGGTAGAAGGAGGAAAGAAGCTGCTTGAGTGGATGCTGGAGAAGAACATCTATCCAAATGCTGCAACTTACAATTCTCTTATGAAGCAGTACTGCATTGGCAATAACATGAAATCTACCACTGAGATCTATAAGGGGACGTGTTCTCGGAATGTGGAGCCAAATGAGAATACATACAATATATTGGTCAAGGGGCACTGCAAGGCAAGGAATATGAAAGAGGCACTATATTTCCACTACGAAATGATAGAGAAGGGTTTCAGACTTACTGCAACCTCATACAGTGCTCTTATAAGATTGCTGAATAAAAAGAAGAGATTTGTTGACGCAAGAAAACTATTTGATGATATGAGGAAGGAAGGTTTGACAGCTGAACCAGATGTATACAATTTTTATATTGATTTCAATTTTAATGAGGACAATTTGGAGTCAACCCTTGCTCTTTGTGATGAACTGGTGGAAGCCAGTATCGTGAAATCGAAAGCTGAAATGGATCAAGATGTTGTAAAGCAACATATAACATTAGGAACATGATTTTGGCTGGTTATATCATGCTAGCTTCTTCAGGATTGTGTTTGCAAGCAATAGTGAATACAAGATCCAGAGATAGTGCTGTCCCTTTTCACCATGTTAAAACTGGCAGTTGAGGTAAAAACAGTTTCTTTTAAGTATTTAAATTGGTTACAGATAATAGTTGTGTGTTCCCTGGCATTTTCTGATGGTTGATGATATTATCCTTTAATTACAGCCTTCCATGGGTCAATCTAGAATATGTTCAGACGTGATAGAATGAACATTGTGGTGTTGGTGTGATTTGCAAGGTGGAAGACAATATGCATTGTGAACTCATTTCTTTTCTTTCCAAGTATTATGTCTGGTCCTTGTTCCTGTGTTTTTCTACATCAAGTTTAATGATTTATCCATTTGTTAGTTTGATACTTGCAGAATAAATATGAATCACCTAGAGCATTGCTAGAGGTGCATATTTATTGTCTCACTCATATCCTGCATCTGACTTCCACTCATGCTTCTTATGTTGCAACTGACATGAAGTTGAAGTTAGAGGGGTTTGGCTCTTTCATCGCTTAGATCCAGTGCTTCTTCAGAGCTACTCTTGTTTCAGTGTTATTTTCTGTAAAAATATATAAACTAGATCTATTTTTCTTGGATTTAGTCCTTCCCCCCCAGATTAAGGGTTACTCTACTAAGATATACTTTTTTTTTTTTTTTTGGAGTTGCAATGAACTCAAGCTGACCTTTAATCTGCTGACTTGCAGGACAAGAAGTTTTTTGGTTAATAAATTGTCAGGCCTCGAACTAGTGAATTAGTTGTCTTTACGAGGAGTAGTAAGGGCCTAAGCTGCTGCATGTGATGCTGATGAGTACAGGAAGAACATGGCGAAACCACTGGTGAAACAGGAGAGAACTAAAGAGGCAATGAGACTTATGCCTGTGAATGGAAGGATTAACTAGAAAATTTTCATGAACAACAGTGGAAGATAGCATTTATTAAGAACTGATGTTTGATCTTCGTTCGGAATTTTGAGAAAAATATATGGTATGCTCTGTTTGCAGACATCATTCCTTCCTCAATGTTACAGCACCCAGCTCAGCTTCATCGTTCACTGACTTGGACCTTCGTTTGTACATAGGCGAACTCAGCTTCTCGGAGATTCATAAAGTGCAGCACCAGATTCTGTTAGCTGTTAGAATTAGGACACATCACAACACATCCATATGGGAAACATACAGCTTCGAATGAACATATTGATATAGACAGAGGATACAATTGTACTGTAGTCTGTAGGAATTTTGAGAAACAATGTGCATAGTTCTAAGCTCATTTTTTTTATCGGTGGATGCAACATGCATTAATTGTTTTCTTGCAATTTTAGACTGCACGCCTACATTTATGGTGAGGCGTCATTGTGTATTGTATTGGCAACTGTGTGCTGTAATTGTATTGGCAGAAATAGATCACTGCACCCATCACCCTGCATCAGAGTGGACGTCCTGGACGTTAAGGCCCGTCTGAGTTTGGGGAATTTTTTTTCCTAATAATTCTTGTGGGAGAAAAGCATTCTTGTAAATTTTACGAAGAGTTACTAGCGTTCCAAACAGGTCATAGTACAGTCCTCAAAGTAGATTCTTTATCACGTGTGTCACTGTTTTGAAATAAATCACCCCATATATTACTTCATGTCATATATGTTGTAAAGTATATTTTGACCGTTAAGTTTTCTTACTATATGTTGCTATTTGCTTAAGGACAAATATTATTCAAAGGCACTTTCAATACAAATATATTAATACAAGTTTTATGTCATGAATAATTATGGTTAAAATTTGTAAAATTTTCCATTTCTAGACATAATATAATGATCAATTCCGGGACAAAGAAGTGCTATTGAATCATTATGTATATATATGGTAACAAAAATACCATAGCAAGTCTAGCGTAAGGATGGCAACGGATCGGGTTTGGGGCGGATATCCATGAGTTTCGGGTTCTGTGGGTTCGGGACAAATAAACCAATTATTTCGGTTTGGTTTTCATATCCAATGGATATCACTAAATAATTTGGAATTAAAACTCATGTTTACAAATAATAATATTAAATTTATTTAAGTTGACTCAGTATTATTTGTTGCCTCTTGTTTATACATGTGAATATGTGTATATATATCCGCTGGTTTTGGGTATCCATTCGGTTTCGGTATGGTTAAAATGGATTTCCACCAAACGCATTTTTGAAAAGTGTTTTTGGTTTCGGTTTCTAACCCGACCATCCTTATATTTTTACTAATGATCAATTCAGAGGAGGACAAAGAAGTGCTATTGAATCATTATGTATGATATAACGTGCTCTCACTGAGCTTTGAGGTAGGAAGGAGCCAAAAATAGTAGTTTCTCTCTGCTTCACCTTAATACACATACCTCTAGCATATTTTTAAGAAAAACTATAAGTCTAGTGTGTTTTTTGTAAACTTAATTTATCAAGGAAAAAGTGCTATTTTTACTATTGGAGCGAGTACCATCTCTGTGCAGAGGAGAAGAGGATTTTTTGAAAAATTATAGAAAAATCATAAAATGAAAAATCTAATTTTATTGGACTCCATGAGTAGATCTACACATGGGCTTTAGTACAAAATTTTTATGAGATTAATTGGAAAATCTAATTTTGTCTATAATTAATTGCCCAATTCTCCAAGGTTCTGATCCAATTGTGGCACCAAAATTATTGTCGCTTGAACTATAGTAAAATTTCAGTACTCATTGGATTATGTATAACTTAGTTATAAATAAATTCTAATTAATTACGAAAAAATTGGATTTTCCAATTAATCTAAAGCTATAAAAAAAAATTTGTACTAAAGCGCACTATTATATATTCACCGTAGATCTACCTCCAATAAATCTCCAAAATTCACTGAAAATAAATAGAAAAAGAAAATTTAAACCTACAGTTAAAGCAACCCGATGTTACTGTAGCCTCCCGGTCAATAAGCATGGGGTAAAACAGAGACGGTTTCTATAGTTGGGGTGAAGGTCGCCGGAAAGGCGGCGGCGCTGCCAAACGCGAGCCTTACTCTTGCATGGGCTCGTATGAAAAGGCTCTCCACTGCCGAAACACCAAAAGCCCAACCCAAACCCTAAGTCCCCGAAATCTCCCCGCGAAAGGCAGCGTCGGACGCCCCCGCCGGAAGGCGCGCCCTGCGCTCTCGACGCCGACACCGGACAAGTCCCCGAAGGGCGGCGTCGACCTCTTCGCCCCACCTCGACGTCCTGCTCCCACCCGGACCTCTTCACCACCTCCTCCTGCTCCGGCCGCGTCTCCGTCCTCGCGCAGCCTCCGCCGCCGCATGAGGGCCGGGGCGAGGGCGCCGCCAAGCCGAAGAAGAAGGCGCGGGGCGGCGGGTGGGTATACGTATCTCACGACCCCGCCGACCCGGACACCGTGGTGGAGCAGCTGTTCGGCGGGAGCGGGTCCGGAGGGGCGGGGGACGAGCTGGTGTTCAGGTTCGAGCCGATGATCGTGGCGGTGGAGTGCAGGGACGCCGCCGCAGCTGCGGCGCTCGTCGCGGCCGCGATCGGTGCGGGGTTCCGGGAATCAGGTGAGTTGTGTGATTGTGTGTAGCGTGCCTCCTTCAACCCTGTGTTTAGAGTTATGTTGAGATGTTGGATAAGGCTTGGATTTCCATAAACAACTCAGCAGTGTATCCTTACCATCAGTGTCATTGTACAGTATTTCAATCCATGGAGATGTGGAACGATTTGTAAATCCTTGTATCATTGATTGCAGGCGCAGGGTTCATTATAGTCATTTTGCATATATAGTTTTAGAAAAGTATGTTTTCTGGTTCATGCTTTTGGCTGAAATGATAAATTGACTCACAAGTGAAGGTTTGTACGACGAGAGATGGATTCATTGGATTGTAATGTGTATTGCTGAGTTTTGATATGATGTTTCTTGTCCTTATTTATAGGAATATCAGATTAAGTTTGTTTAAAAATCGATTAATCTGGTTTTCAGGTATCACAAGCTTGCAGAAACGTGCAATGGTAGCAATAAGATGCTCAATTCGCATGGAAGTGCCACTGGGGCAGATTGACGAACTTGTTGTTTCTCCGGAGTACGTCCGATACCTTGTTAGAATTGCCAACAGTAAAATGGAGGCAAATAAAAGGCGAATGGATGGATTTCTGGATCTCTTGCAGACTAAGGTATTGAGCTATTCTTGTCTTACTGTATTCCAACTTTTTTGTTAGTGTGCATGACATACATATTTGGAAACTTTGGATATCGTGTAAGTCCAAAAATGTTTCTGCTGAATGCTCATTAAGCTGGGGTGGGGAGTAAACTAAGTATTTCTTTTAAGAGATAATAATCTATAGGACGTTTCTGTTTCTAAACTACTTAATGAGCTGAGCAAGATTTTTCAAGCAGATGGTGATAGCTACTGCTTGATTTACTACCACTTGTCAGATACTACCTCTGATCTTTTTCAATTGACACTGGTAGTCAAAACTGAACTAGCCAGTGTCATTTTAAAAAGATCAAAGGGTGTAAGTTTATCTTCATTTATCCATAGTCTATGTCCTGAACATTTGCAGGTGTGTTCTCAAAAAAATTACTTTGACCACCAATTCATTTACAAATATGTTTGTACATTCTACAACAATTTTTTTCTTTTAACATGTTGGTTCCAATCAAATTGCCAGGGTTTGTCATACTCATCGGGGTTGTCAAACAACTGTAATGAAAGTGGTGGTCAGTCTGTTGATTATGAGGCTTCCGTGGGTCCTGAAGTTAAGATACCATTAGATAAATGTGCCAAAACAAATGATGAGTACTTAGTTACAAAAAGGAGAAACGGTGGACGTAGTTGTGATGATGATGATACAGGTTCAATAGAAGCACAGTATTTTGGAAATCAAGACTCTTCATGGAGCGAGGGTGTCAAGCATGGTTTTGGTAATGCTAAACGGCATGTTCTCTTATCTCTTTTTTCTCATCTTGTTCCTACTTTTCATTTTTCTTAGATTAGCATGTAATTTTTTTTGGTTTGATGGGCCCTGAAATGGATATTTGATATCATTTGATTGCTTCAAAGAGGTGCATCATAGTACATGGTAGTTTGGCTGCTTTGGCATGTTGGACCCACTGACTTAGTTGTTAATTGTCCATGTTGTTTATATATGTAAATTTTATAAGCAGTGTTTCCGTAAATGCTTAAAAGGTTGTCAACTTTGTTTAGCCTTGTTGGACTACGCAGCCAATTAATCAGATTACATGTCCGTTTAAGCGAACACTGGTTTTAAGAAACTTTTTGTTGAACATTAGCTCCAGTTTTGATTAAAAATAATTTTCCTTTTGCTTGTAGCAGACAGATAGGTGATTATTTTGTGTTACGAAACCATGATTTTCCCTTCACTATTTAATGAGTTGATGGTCCTGCACCTATTTAGGTGTTTACTCTGTTATTCCGTAATTCTGATGATTGTACTTTTAGTCTTCTTACTCACAAAGTAACAATCCAGTAGCTCGGAACCCTTGATTGAACCCTTTTCATCTTTTCTGTTCTATTGTATGTAGATTATTAACGCTGGAGAAGTTGTCACAAAACAAAAATCATCTCTCTACCACAACATTGAAGATTAGTGGTGAACCAATTGAGAAGCTTTTCTTATGGGGCCAAGCCTCTTGTGTGTTTACTGTTGGAGAAGAGCAGCAGGTCCTAACTTTTGGTGGTTTTGGAGGACCAGGAAGACATGCAAGGAGAAACTATTCCCTTCTGCTCAATCACAAATCTGGTTTGTTGACAGAAATGATCTTCAAAGCATCTCCTTCACCACGGATGGGGCATACAGTTACTTCAGTTGGTAATAGCACTTATCTAATTGGAGGTAGAGGTGGCCCTTCAGAAATTCTTGATGATGTCTGGGTTTTGCAAAGCACTGGGAATACGTGGTCAAAAGCGGAGTGCTGTGGAGATCTGTTCCAACCAAGGTACTGTTTAGATGAAATTGTTTAGCCCCCTTTGCCCGTTCTCGATTTTTTATGGACGTTCTGTCTCTTTTTTTTTTTGACTTCGTTCTGTCTCTCTTTATGCAGGCACCGACATGCAGCTGCTGCAGTAGCTTCAAAAATTTATGTATTTGGCGGACTCAGTAATGAAGGCATATATTCTTGTATGAATGTATTGGACACAAAAAATATGCAATGGAGTGTGCTTACTGCTTCAGGCGAATGGCCATGTGCTCGACATTCACATTCTATGGTGTCGTATGGTACAAATCTATTCATGTTCGGAGGTCATGATGGCCAACGGGCACTGAAGGACTTCTACAGTTTTGATACAACAACACTCAGGTGGAACAAGGAAAACACAAATGGGGGATCTCCATCACCTAGGTTTTCACAGTGCATGTTCATCTACAAAAATTATCTTGGGATACTTGGTGGCTGCCCTATTACAGAAAACAACCCAGAAGTTACATTGCTGAACTTAAAGCATCGAGTCTGGTTTTGTGTTTCCGTTCCATTGCTGAGCCAGTCCCTCTGTGTCCATAGTTCATCGGTTGTAATTAAAGATGATCTTGTTATTTTAGGTGGCGGTGCATCTTGTTATGCATTTGGAACGAAATTCAGTCAGCCAATAATTCTTGATCTGCATTCAGTGGAGTCTATGTTTAAATATGTTAGGAACAAAGATGGCACAGTTCAAAATCGTGATGCAATATCTGCTGTTGACTTGACAAGAGATGAGCAAAATGGCATCTCTGATCATGACACAAAATCACAAGATGCTTGTTCTGGTGATTTGATGGATTCAAGCCCTCTGGTTCTTCAACTGGAAAAGACGTATGCCAAATTAGCAAAGGACATTCTGAAAAAGTTTGAATGGTTGGACCTTTCTAGAAAAGTTCGAGTGAGTCATGATAATGGCCACGTTCTTTTTCCTATTAATGAAGCTTTCCGTGTCCTAAATGCTGAAGAGCATATCAAGATGACACATGATGATTCATGTACCTTTGGGGAATCATTAGTGTTTACTGAAAAGAAACTTGTAGGAGACAATCTATCTCTTCAGGATGCATTAAAAATTTTGTCATCTTGCAATAGTTCCTTTATGAAAGATGAACTAGCCATCAGCCGAAAGCCTTCCAAGTCTCCTCAAACCATCATGAAAGAACTTGTATCTTCTCTACTGGAAAGTAAAGGGATGCCCCCTCAGTTGTTGGAGCAGCTTCCAGCTAGGTATGTTTCTCTGATGAAAATATCTATTGTTATTACAACTATAGTTGCTCTTGCTTGCTTAAATCTCATTCTGATGTGTAGGTGGGAGACACTTGGTGATATCGTCATACTTCCGAAGACATGTTTTAAGAATCCATTGTGGGAATCAGTTAGCGAGGAACTTTGGCCACTAGTTGCCAAGTCACTTGGTGCACAACGTCTTGCACGCCAAGTAAGTATTGGATGAACTCTTTATTAGTGAACCTAGAACATCTATTTGGGTTGCTATTACTCTTGAAGTCAATACCTTGTATGTTCATGTGGTCTCCCACCCTCAATTGAATTTCCATGTTAAGTATTTTTATTCTTATAATTTGTGACTTGACTTGTGGCATGCATTTGGTTACCCTACCAACCATTTATTTCTGTTGGGGATGCCCTTTTCAATATGATTCATTCAATCTGTCCTTTTTTGGCAGGGTAAAATCATGCCAAATGGTACAAGAGATAGTACACTGGAACTTCTTCTGGGTGATAATGGATGGGTTACCCATTATGAAAACGGCATGTGCTATTCACTTGATGCAACAAAATGCATGTTTTCTTCTGGTAATCGTTCAGAGAAACTTCGCATGGGACAGCTAAACTGCAGAGATGAGGTGGTCGTGGATTTGTTTGCTGGAATTGGATACTTTGTTCTTCCGTTTCTTGTGAAGTACATTCTCTGATAGCCCTTGGTCAAACACAGAGATTTTGATTTATCTCCCCTAAAAAATTATTGTTCTTAATCTCTTACTCTTGCAGGGCTAATGCCAAGCTACTTTATGCATGTGAATGGAATCCAAATGCTCTGGAGGCTCTTCGGCGCAATGTTAGTGACAACAGTGTGGAGGATCGATGTATTATACTTGAAGGAGATAACCGGGTGACTGCACCCAAAGTATGTACTGGACAACTTTCATCTTTTGGTCCAACACATGAATTATGATGGCCGCTGATCTTTATTTCTTACTGGACTTGAATTAGGGTGTTGCTGATCGAGTCTGTCTTGGATTGTTACCCTCAAGTGAATATAGCTGGGTCACTGCTGTTGAAGCTTTAAGGTGATCTGTCTGCATAACCACCTGAGTTGTTTCAGTTATGCTTATTTCATTCTAGGTTTCTTGTAGTGTTCAAAGAAGATTTTATATAGAGAAGTCTAACTGCTTAGGTAAGCTTTGTCTTGGCCTCCTCTAGTTGGACATGCTAAGGTTCTTGTTTCTGTTGCACAAGTAGCTGCATCCTTCAGTAATTAAGATGATTTGTTAGTATTATTTGAATTGGTTTTACTAAGGAGTCTGGTTGTGTTAGGAGTCAGTTGGGAATGTGCCTATCTTTTGAAAGTCGTTGGGAATGTGCCTATCTTTTGAAAGTCATTTGCAAATCTTTAGGGTTGGTTAGTTCGTAATAATGGGCTAGGTTAGATTCCACACACACACATATAATAGCATTATACCCTGTTACGTGTTGGTCCCTCGGCTGCCCTGCATAGGTAAGCAGTAAGCTTACTAGCACACTTACTCATTATGGCTAGAGGTAGAAGAAGATATTGAGAACAGCTCTCACACACACAGCACAAGCCCAGCGCTGACCGAAGGCTCTGCTTCTGGATGTGGCAAGCTGAACTGCTCTTTTGCATTGCCTTAGGTGTGATATATATACAAGGGCTAGTACCTCTACCAGGTACATAGTTGTTGGTGAGTACACTAACTACCTACTCCTAAGGTACACCAACTACTAGTACTAGCAGTATAAAGTTTAGATCAACCCACTACTAAGACATGGTTGATATAATAGCTACCAACTAATGTACTAGAGGTGGCCTATTGCCATCTTCACTTTCACTGACAATAGAGATCGGACAAATGAGTGACCAAATGCCAACTCTCTGCAACAACAAGAGAGAGAGAGATCAGCAACAGATTATGTCTTACAATTCTTCTCCTAATCCTGCTGCTAACCCGATGCCTTGACCTCATCCATGCCAATCATCTTCCTCAGCTCCATGAACCGCAGGCGCCCGAGTGACTTGGTGAGGATGTCGTCGAATGTCTGTCACGGTCTCGATTTAACTTGATGACGATCGCCCTCCATCGATGCGATCCGGAGGAAGTGGAACTTGATGTCAATGTGCTTGCTCCGGTCGTGGAGGATGGGGTTCTTAGCGAGTGATGATGGCGGTCAAGGTTGTCCACTATCGAGTTGGCGGGTGAGCTTCCTCGCGGTCACCGGCTTCGCCCGGCGGCGGCCAACCAGAATCGATCACGCACGCCGTGGTTGCTTCTGACGATCGCGCCTCGCATGTCGACAAATACACGATCTTTTTGCTTCAAATGACCCCAAAGCAATGGGGGCGCTCAAGGAAGACGAAACACGCCGGAGGTGCTCCGTCGCCCGCCGATGTCGCCCGCCATGTCTGCGGCGGCCGAAAACAAAGTGAGCTTCACTCACCTTCCTTTGCCTTGGGGGTGCCTCACTGAAGACCGTGAGCCGCAGCCCACCCTTGCCGCCACTCTTGGGGAAGATGATCGCTTGATCGAGCGTCCTCTTGACGTAGCGCAGTAGCCTCTTCACCGTCGTCCAGTGATCCTCGCGCGGGTCCTCCATGAAGCGACTGACATACCCGACCGCGAACGTGATGTTCGGCCGAGTATGCGTGAGGTAGCGTAGCCCGCCGGCGATGCTCCGGTAGCGCGTCGCGTCCACCTTCGCCGCCATGCTGTGCTTGGACAGCTTCAGCCTCTCCTCCATTGGAGTTGCGCACGGCTTGCACTCCGCCATGCCGCTACGCTCCAGCAGCTTCTTCGCATAAGCGCGCTAGCCCAGGGAGATGTACTATTTCCCCTGCCTCACCTCAATGCCGAGGTAGTAGGAGAGCGCGCCGAGATCGCTCATTTTGAAACGAGCAGCCATCTCGCGCTTGAAGCCGTCGATGTCCTCCGCCCGCGCTCCAGTGACGATCAAGTTGTCCACATACATGCCGACGATGAGCTCCTTCTTCCCCCGTCGCCACGTGTACAGCGCGTGCTCTGTGGCGCAGCGAGTGAACCCAAGCTCGCTTGGCGTTCCACGCCCGAGGGGCCTGCCGCAGCCCTTAGAGCGCCTTGAGCAGCTTGAGCAGCTTGTGCTCAGCGCCCTTGATGGCGAAGCCCAGAGCTTGCTTGACGAAGTCCGTCTCCTCGAGCTCGTCGTTGAGGAACGTAGACTTGACGTCGAGGTGGTGGACGCGTCAATCCTTCGCTGCTGCCATGGCCAACAGCAAGCGAACGGACTCCATCCGTTCCACCGGAGCAAAGACTTCCTCGAAGTCGATGCCCTCACGCTGCACAAAGGCGCGGGCGACGAGCCGAGCCTTGTACTTGACAATGGCGCTGCGCTCGTCCCGCTTTAACTTGTAGACCCACTTCAACCCGATCGACCTGCAGCCCACCGGTGGATCCACCAGCTCCCATGTCCCATTGTCCTCGATGGCCTTCATCTCTTCCAACATCGCCCGGCGCCAATTGTTGTCGTCGTTTCAGCCACTGCAAACGTCGGTGGCTCCTCTGCACTAACATGGAGCAGCTCTGGGTCGTCGAGAAAACGACTGGCCAACCCAGGAGCTCCCCCTTCGTCGACGATGTTGTCCACCCGCCTGAACCGGACCTCCTCGCCGTCGTGGAAAGCGTCCACGTACTCGTCGATGTCGGTGGGTGGAGAGGTGAACTCGATCGGTGGTCCATGGCCTCCCTGTTCTGCCGGAGTGGTCGGCATCGCTGCTGGACCGCTCGGCACCACTGCCGGAGTTGTCGGCATCGCTGTTGGACCGCTCGGCACCACTGTCGGTGTGGTCGGATCCACTGCTGGAGCGGTCGGCACCACTCCTAGAGTGGTCGGCTCCACTGCTGGAGCGCTCGGCACTGCTGTTGAAGTGCTCGGCACCCCTCCTGGAGTGGTCGGCATTGCTGCTGGAGCGCTCGGCACTGCTGTTGAAGTGCTCGGCACCCCCTCTGGAGTGGTCGGCATTGCTGCTGGACCGCTCGGCACCACTCCTGGGGTGGTTGGCAACTCTTCTCCAGTGTCTCCACCACCGTGGATGACTAAGTGTTCGACGACGAAGGTGTTGCTCAAGCTGCCAGCTTCCCCCGTGCCCGGACCCTCCCAGTCCCAGGCCGCCATCTCATCGAACACCACATCCCTAGAGATCACCACCTTGCCTCTCTTGGGATCATAGAGCCAATATGCCTTGGTGCCCTCCTCGTAGCCCATGAGCACCATCGGCATGCTCCTGTCTTCCAGCTTGCTGAGGTGAGGCTTGGTGTTCTTCATTTGGCCGACGCAGCCAAATGTCCTGAGAAAGGACACATTCGGCTTGCGTCCATGCCAAGCCTCGAACGGCGTACAAAGCTTAGATCAGCCCACTACCAAGACATGGCTGATGCAATAGCTACCAACTAATGTACTAGAAGTGGCCTATTGCCATACTGCTACAGCAGTAGAGACTGGACAGTCGAGCTGACCAAGTGCCAACTCTGCTGCAGCAAGAGAGAGAGATCAGTAGCAGATTATGTCTTACATTACGGCTAAGCATTATAATTGTTATTCTCAACCCTTCTAATTTCTCTCTTCCCCTGCTACGGTTAAGCATTGTAATTGTTATTCTCTACCCCTGCTTCCGTTCTCTAATCACCAACCACATCCAGGGTTTCATATCCCTGCAACCTTAATCGCAAAGGTGTACACGACAGCAGCAAAAGGTTGTTTCAGAATATTCTAAATGTTCTTTTCAAACTCTGCTTATCAACATATTGATCTTAGTAGTGCTAGTCTGACATATCCCCAAAGTTATCCTGCCAATTCTTTTTTAGAGAAAAGTTTCCTCCGCTTTATTGAGCCAACAGAGCACAATTGAGCTTACATTTAGCAGAGCGTATTCGAGGCGCACCCGCCAAATTCTGGGATGTTAAAGGTTCCCTGACCGAAGTTCATTTCATGCGGAAAGATCATTTTATTGCTATCATCCTCCGAGTCATGCTGAAGTATCGACTCTCCTGATATGGCCAAACTGGAGTTGCTGTAGACCGCCGTCCCAATCCTTCCATTTACATGCTGCCAAATTTAGTTGTCTGACACACTGAAAATGCCTGCATGGTGGTGCTTTCAGTGTGTAGGGCATGGAACACGTTGTGCTGCTTGATGGAATGTGTGGTCTCACTTGGAAACAAGTTCTCTTTAATGTTTGAATGTGATGTTGGAATTTTGTCAACTTGCTGGATCCACAACAAACCTCTGATGTTAACATTTTACTCTATTACTATGTGTAGGGTTGGCGGGGGCGTATTGCATATACACGGGAATGTCAATGACTCTGATGAGACACGCTGGTTGGACAATGTTGTTGAATCCATCAGTAATATCGCCAAAAACCACGGTAAAAATGGTGCATTTATGCTTTGATCTGTTGCGATGCATTTTTGCTCTCCAAGAGTTCAAATTCCATTCTTATGCCCATTTTGTGTCGCAGGACTATCCTGGAACGTGTCAGTAGAGCATGTTGAACGTGTCAAATGGTATGGGCCGCATATTCGCCACCTTGTAGTTGATGTTAGATGTCGGCAAATCTAACAAAGCAGACGCCTTCAGAGAATACTTGTGCATTGCCAGGCCTGGGATTCTTGGATAGTTGGATGCATATACATTGCAGAATGTAATGTTCAACAGTTTGCTTTGGTTGTGTTTTAGTCCCAAGTGTATTCCATTGCTCCTAGTCATCATGGAGCCTCTGTTGTGACCTTGAAAGCATGTTCAGGTTCTTGACAACAATTCGCAACTGCATAGCTACAGTAAAGTTGTGTTCTTGTACTGAGTAATTTATGTATCTTTTTTCTTATATAAGATAATTTATTACGTTGTCTGAACATTTTATTACCAGCTTTTGCATTGGCTGATGGCATAGCACGCTAGGTATTGCATTGATTCAGTGATTACGGTGAAGCAGGAAAGTCATGTAAAACAAGGCCCATTTTGTTTTGAGAAGGAAAACACGTATTTGGTATGTATTGATCGAATATCTGGGCACATCACTGGAGGGGGCAAGACGTCGCTCTTTTTAGAGTAGAGATACCTTTTTTTTTTGTCATGGACCGATGATGGTTACTCTTTGCTTTGTTCGCTTGGCTGATAAGCCGGCTAAAAGTACCGTTGGCTGATTTGTTGTGAGAAAAAATACTGTTCATTAGCTGAAAAAATACGACTTATAAGCAAGCGAACATGGCGCTTGTCGATGTTTTTATGTTGACCGGCCTCAACATCAGGACCACTTACTCCCTATGATCTGCTCAACAAAGGATCCCATATGCTTCAAATCAAGGAATGTGGTGGATGGTCTGATTACATCTCCAAGCATATGAAGACTGGATCAGTTAACGACAGAGAGCATGCCGCCTTCCTGAATATGTTGTTGAAGAAATTTATCTTTCGTGGGTCATCTTGTGGACCAACCACTAATCACCAATACTTAGTAGAATGACTGGCAGCTGGTAATGTGATTCCACACAGAAAATACCTACTTGGATCGGCCTATTCCTTGATGCATCAGGTGTCAATGAAGCTACTAAAAGATGAGCCGATTGGTACAATCAGTGGTCCATGGTGGCTCATACAGCTATGGTTGCATCTACACATGCACCAGGTGTCAGGCAGTAGTCTCAAGAATCAAATCTTTCCGTCCTCAGATTTCTTAGAGAAAGAAAAAGAACGAACCCGCCGATGCACTTCATCGGTGAGGAAGCATCGACTATCTCCATTTTAGTTGATATAGCCCACTTCTTCAAAGGTTTTTATAATGGATTTGTAGAAGAATCTACCATCTGGTTTGCTTATGATGAGGATAATGAATTTGAACTCCCTTATAAATTTCGATTTGAAACTGCATGTACCGATGAAGTCTCTTCATCAATTTTTCAATGAGCCTGTTCGCTGGTTGATTTCTGGGCTGATAAGCCCAGCTGGTGCTGGTTTGTTGTGAGAGAAAAACACTGTTGGCTAGCTGATAAGCCCTGGCTGAAACCAACAAGCGAACAGGCTGAATGTATTATCAAGCCAGGTGTATTACCAATCGATTTTCGCCATGGCCATGCAAGGAAAGGAACCAAAATACCCATGAAGCCACCAACCTATGAGTTTTACTACCCATCGGTTGCAGCTCGTTGTTGGTGGTCTTAAAGGCTAAATCCGACCGCCAAATAAGATAGAAATAAAGGAGAACTAACAAGTCTTACTTACATATTTTATTTATATTAACATATTTTCACATGTATCGGAGAATAAGTGTTTTGCAGGACACATATTGGAATACTATAGAAAACGTGCTCAAAATACAAAAGAAATGCAGCGTAACGCTATCCGACACGAGCACTAAGGGGATAGGCCCACAAATCAGGACAACCGACAACATTCAGAGCCCTCCACTGAGGATCACGCTGAGGGGCTACTCACTAGACACCCGAACAAAGGCGGTGTCGGGGAGGCTTCACCTGGGGTCAGTCGACCCTAGGGGTCGGGTGAGCCCCGCGCCACACCGCCAGCCCCCCTCTTCCACATGACGTCTCCTGGTGCCTCCCCCACATCGGTTGCGCGCTAGATCCGTGGAACATTCCCCTGCAACCGACCATTAGACTAGTATAAATAAGAGGGAGAGGCTCCCCCACTCACACACCACACTTGAGCCTCTATCCCTCTCTACTCTTGTACCTTTTCCTTCGTAGTATTTGGAGCTAGGCTAGAGCTTGCATGGGCCTTGTGCCGTTTTCCTAGCTTTAGCCGTTTTGGGCCTTAGATGGTGTATATAGGCATCAGTCTTGTAAATAACAGGCATCGGAGAACAGAATTCTGAAATTCCCCAACTGTCTTCTTCCTCGCACGCTCAGCCGCGTCCTCTGTATCTCTACAACCTGAACTCTGTTCTCCCCATTTCTTGCTATTCAATTCCACTTCCCTGCTTAGTTTGGTGACATAAACCTGCGTGGTAGATGTGTTTCTTACTTTGCTTTGGAAACTCAGACTTAGTTTATTTATGTTTGGTTTGATCAGCAGAACATAATTGGCTGTACTAATAGGGTGTTTGACCGGTTTGTTTTTGGTCGAACACATTATGTATTGTTTTCTTTACAACACAATATGGACCGGGGATCATCCCTGGAGATTCTAAACAAAACTAGTTAATTTGCTTCTAGTAAGAGCACTACATTGTTTTTTTATTGTCGGTTGGTTCAGTAGCAAGGCCAGATTTAGATAGGTGCAAGTGCAAGGGTTCAGAGTAGCGATTCTTTGCTGGTAATGGCGCTTGCCTAATCTACCAATATGATCTACCATTATTATCCTTATTTCTGTATTTTCTATATTATCCTTATTTCTGTATACCATATCTGATCCCTAGGGAGGCCACGTCACCAGTACTGTTGCAACACTGTGTAACTCGCCCACATCACCGGTTACTGTTGCAACACTGTGTAACTCTGTTTCAACACGATACAACACTATTCATTGCTGTTTTTATCCCTGGATCGCATACAACACATACTGCCTAACATACTAGGTTGGTATGCGCACTTCGCCGCGCACACAGACACACAGCGTGTTTATCAGATACTAATTTGGCGCGAGGAAGTACATATGAGTATCAACGTAAAGCTAGCACCAAGAATCAATCAGGGTGGTCGTTCCCTGTGAAACTCCCATCTTGATCGTAAAATTTGGTTTACATCAAAAATAGAAATGAACATTCGCCCCTATATTTATTTCACCGGAAGAATAGTGATTAAGGTACATGCCATACAGGAAAAAGGAAAGTATAGGCAATATAAAATTAGCTAACGTCGTTCTCCCTGCCTCCCAATCTCTGCTGGGCTGAATAGCAATCTAGAACCATAAAAAAAAGATTTCACCGTTGTAGGTCAACAACTGAAATATTGAAATAAAGGATTATAGGAAAGTTCTTTCGTAGAAATCAATTAATGATTGATATAAAGGCATGGAACTATCCTTTTGCAGTAGGCAGTACAACCATTTTGACAAACATGGAAAAACGTTGCTAATGTAAACTGTTGGACCTAAGAACAGAAAGATGGTTTCTTGAATGGAACTATCCTCTAGTTGGACCTCTTCTGTTGCACAAGTAGCTCCATGCTTCAGCGATTAAGATGATTTCTTAGTATTGTTTGAGTTGGTTTTACAAAGGAGTTTGGTTGTGTTAGGGAGTCAATTGGGAATGTGCCTATCTTTTGAAAGTCATGTGCAAATCTTTTAGGGCTGGTTAGTTCATAATAATGGGCTAGGTCAGATTCCACACACACACTCTATCATATATAATAGCATTATACCCTGGTTAAGCATTATAATTTTTATTCTCAACCCTTCTAATTTCTCTCTTCCCCTTCTACAGTTAAGCATTATAATTGTTATTCTCAACCCTTCTAATTTCTCTCTTCTACCCCACCAACCACATCCAGGGTTTCATATCCCTACAACCTTAATCGCAAAGGTGCACACGACAGCAGCAAAATGTTGTTTCAGAATATTCTACATGTTCTTTTAAAACTCTGTTTATCAACATATTGATCTTAGTAGTGCTAGTCTGACATATCCCCAAATACATCCTGCCAATTCTTTTTTAGAGAAAATGTTTTCCCCACTTTATTGAACGAATAGAGCGCAACTGAGTTTACATTTGGCAGAGCGTATTCGAGGCGCGCCCGCCAAAATCTGGGATGCTAAAGGTTCCCTGACTGAAGTTCATTTCACGCGGAAAGATCATTTTATTGCTATCATCCTCCGACTCATGATGAAGTATCATCTCTCCTGATATGGACAAACTGGAGTTGCTACAGACTGCCCTCCCAATCCTTCCATTTACATACACTGAAAATACATGCATGGTGGTGCTTTCAGTGTGTAGGGCATGGAACACGTTGGGCTGCTTGATGGAATGTGTGGTCTCACTTGGAAACAAGTTCTCTATAATGTTTGAATGTGATGTTGGAATTTTGTCAATTTGTTAGATCCACAACAAACCTCTGATGTTAACATTTTACTCTATTATATTTTGTGTAGGGATGGCGGCGGTGTATTGCATATACACGGGAATGTCAATGACTCTGATGAGACACGCTGGTTGGACAATGTTGTTGAATCCATCAGTAGTATCGCCAAAAACCATGGTAAAAATGGTGCATTTATGCTTTGATCTGTTGCGATGCATTTTTGCTCTCCAAGAGTTAAAATTCCATTCTTATGGCATTTTGTGTCGCAGGACTATCTTGGAACGTGTCAGTGGAGCACGTTGAACGCGTGAAATGGTACGGGCCGCAGAGAATACTTGTGCGCACTGCCCAGGCCTCGGAACCTTGTAGTTGATGTTAGTTGCCGGCAAATCTAACAAAGCAGATGCCGTAGAGAATACTTGTGCACTGCCCAGGCCTCGGATTCTTGCATAGTTGGATGCATATATCATTGCAGAATGTAATGCTCAACAGTTTGCATCGGTTGTGTTTTAGTTCCAAGTGTGTTCCATTACTCCAGTCATCATGGAGCCTCTGTTGTGACCTTGAAAGCATGTTCAGGTTCTTGACAACAATTTGCAACTGCGTAGCTACAGTAAAGTTGTGTTTTGTACCGAGTATTTTATATATCTTTTTTTTTTTTTATATAAGATAATTTATTACGTTGTCTGAACATTTTATTACCAGCTTTTGCATTGGCTGATGGCACAGCACGCTAGCTATTGCATTGATT